AGGAGAGAGAGAGAGAGAGAGAGAGAGAGAGAGAGAGAGAGAGAGAGAGAGAGAGAGAGAGAGAGAGAGAGAGAGAGGAAAGGGCCGAGGCAGCCGAGGAGGAGGAGGAGGAGGAGGAGGAGGAGGAGGTTTAATAAAATATGGTGAAATACATGCATAGCATACATTCACAAGTACACAAGTACACAATCGGTCTACACAATGCACACTGAGAGGTACAAAGTACACACTCTGTAGACAAGGCACACTGAAAGGTACAAAGTACAATGATTGCTCCAGCCGGTGGGTATGGCACCCCGACCGGTTTCGACCGCCGCCACGCGGTCTCCTCAGGGGGAGGTCCACCATACATCAACCCTTGACAAACACCATCGTTCCACTAACCCTCCTCCGTCGTCGACTTCTTCGACATGTCGCAAGTCAGACGGCGTAGGACCCAAAGACGGTAGGCTACGCAATCATCACTAATATAGTCTGACATCTCAGAACCTCACGTACTAGGCCCGGTCATACGTTAGAGGGAAAATACAAGTACCTGGTCGTGCACACAGAGCGAAAGCAAGCCACGTACATACCTAAACACTAAACAGCGAACAAAAAATAGAGGTCCAACAGCTAAGGGATCAAAACCCGCATCAGTCAGCCTTGCCCAAGGCCAAAGAATACAACAGCCAAAAAATGCACTATCAAGGCCCTGTTCGACAGCTCCAGGTTCAAATCTCAAAGAATAGACCACAGCGGTCAGCCTTAACCAAGGCCAAAGGTACTATAGCTCAAACAACGCACTAACACAGTCCCTGTCCAGCAACTCGAGGTTCGAATCTCAAAAAAGACACACTAGCAACTATCAGAGCCCTGTCCAACAACTACAGGTTCGAATCTTGAAAAACACAGTACCAATACAATCCATTGCAGAACAAGGGGCTAGAAAAAACTAGCAGGACAAAACAAACGAAATGTAATAGCAGAAGCCCTGTCCCCCCCCAAACGAAGGCAGAACCTTAGTCTCAAGAAAACAAATACCAAAAACAAAAAAGCCTATCCCTAAATGCAGAACAGGTCAGAAAAACCAGAAGGCAGAAAAACAGAATCATCATCCACTGAGTTCGACGTTCACATGTCTGCTAAGAGCACATCCCATCCATTGCAGAACAAGGGGCTAGAAAAAACTAGCAGGACAGAACAAACGAAACGTACTAGCAAAAGCCATGTCCCCCTAACGAAGGCAGAACCTTAGTCTAAAAAACAAATACCAAAAAACCAAAAAGCCTTTCCCTAAATGCAGAACAGATTAGAAAAAACAGAAGACAAAAAAACAGAATCATCATCCACTGAGTTCGACGTTCACATGTCTGCTAAGAGCACATCCCATCCAATTGATTCATCTGAGAAGACTATCAACATCAACAGATGAGCATCACACTCACCCCCTATCCAAGGCAAAGGTAGACACTTCACTTGCTAGGATCTAAAAGTTCACAAGGTTCATCGTTCCGTGACATCAGAAAAGCTAGTCACGATGCTTCACCATGAGTCAGGTCAGTTCCTACAGCGGGTACAGCCATTTGACAGTGTATGTCCATATGTGATCTCTCCCTTTGGAGAAGCGTTGTGGCGGGAAGTCTTTCATCCGCAATTCCCGAATCAGAGTCAGCACCCTCATCGGTTTCTGAGATCTGACATTCGTATTCTTATCAATTCTGTGCAAATGACTCGTGATGACAACACTTTTTTGTTGCTTACTGCCCCATGAGTGAAAAGACTGACCTGCTTTAAACTCCAAACCGTCCCCTTCCCAAATGGTGCGCTCATTCTTAGCGGACTGATAGCAGCCAATGTATGGCGGGATCGATCTAACAGACATTCTAGTTCCCAAAAAATCCCAGGAATCCGTTCCGTCATCCGTACGCTTCAGTTGCAGATTAGGTGGGTAACAGCATTCAAAACGCTCTCTGATGCAGTCAACAGACAAAGTCTTGCGCTTACGATTCAGGACCACCGGACTCACATCATCCATAAGTCTGAGGCTATAGACGCAGTGTCTAGCAGTCCCCAAGCAGGAAACGGAATTTCACATACGCACACATGATACAGGCAAGAGGTGGGCTGGTACTTTTACCCATAGGGACCCCTACACTTGTCTGAGCAGCACCCATGTGGTTGTCGTATATGTGTGACTGAGCTCGAAGCGTATGAAGTGTTTAACTTGCTGCAGATCAACAGGGCACCAGTGGTCGTCGCTTGTGGTACGGCCAAACGTACTACCCTTCCCTCGTGTGTTAACTCTAACCGAATCACGACCCTTGTTCACATGGTAATCAATGATCCAGTCCACAGCTTGGACGATATCTTCGTGAGGCAGCTTGCGGAACATATCTTTAATGTCATAAGACATCACAGACAAGACAACATCTGCTCCGATCTGCCTACTAATCTTCTTATTAATAGACTCAAGGCGTGGCACTAGCACAACAACTGACTTGAGATTGAAATGCCAATCAACAGGCAATGTAGTCAACAAGTGATTCAGGGTCTTTGCTACGGCTTTGCACGTCCTCATTGTGGGTTCAGCGAAGATAGGGCAGATAGGTCGATATCGCATCAAGTCTTTTATTTCGGCATCACATATGCCTCTCCAAAGTGCCCTTTCTTCTCCCATCGGACAAAACTTTGCAATCCCAGCCTCGTCACATCCTCCTTCATCCCAGCTTTCACCAAAGCTTCTTGCGCGTCGACCACAACGTAACCTGGGTTACGTACAAAGAGCTCTAGCATAGCTTCGTAGTACACCTTTGGGCATAGAACCAAAGTCTCCCCTGGGTTCCGGTCCAAAGGCGTCAGAACTAACCCATTGAGTCGAATCTTCAAATCTCGCACTACTCGCACGTCCAAACACTTCATCTTAGCATCAACACTCGCTGTCATACATCTGTCAACGTCAGTCCTACAGATCGTAGGTAGCGTTCCACGAAAGTTCGCCCAACACTCAAATCCTTCACACACTTCCTTCATCAAAAGCCTCCCTTTGTCCGGATGAGGCAACTTTGGTATGTTGTTAGCATTGCATAACAGCGGATGCACGTTATCTAAATTTTGTAATCTACACTGCACGTGACCGCCTATCCGAGGATAGGGAAGACCTGTACAAGAACAGGTTAACACATCAGAACGCGCATATTCACGTTGATTGTGTAGCAAATCCGCCGCAGAAGGGTTTTTAACCCATACAATGCGGTTCCTATTTCGTGCAGCGTTGCCAATATAGGTAGGAAGGTCCAGCTTCAGCACAACATCATTCAACAGTTTTCTCACCTCAACCACTTTAATCCGATCGTCAAACTTCAGACGCACAGTCAGCTTCACACCAATACTCCAACCATAGCAACTCCTAATCGTACGTGAAATCAACCGTCTCAAAAATGCGATAGTAGATTGCTTCTGGAAATCACCGGCAACACCATTCAGCCTCGTCAAGACCTCAAGGCTACATCGCCGTAGGTACTCAATCCGTCGTGGGTTGCGTAGTAAGGAGACAAGAAACTTCTTGTCAGGTCCCGTCTTCGGTTTCCATCGCCGTAGATGGCAAACTTGGATCGCTTCCCCGCACTCAATGAACCACTTGCATTCACTCAGCTTCATTCGTGCGTCGTTCACCTTAACGATAGTCAAGCCGAACGCGCTACGCACCGATTTCCACCCTTTACACCAGCAGCTTCCGGCATATGTGTACAGGGTAAACTGCTTTCGATTGACCTGATCTTGGGCAGCCAACAATTGATAAAGGTCAACACACCATTCATCATTGCAACACACTCCTGCTTTCACCGGTATCACGGCACTATGTTGATCAACATTCGACTCCTTGACTGTAGTACGAAGTCTTTCCCGCTTTCCTTTTCGTACATGCTTGTTACGTTTTTTCTGCCTAGCCTTCCCAGATGTATTCAAAATCGGAGACCATTGTCTGATGAAAATTTGTTCCAACAAGAGTAGATCTCCACTTCGGCAGCAGTCAACAGGCAGGAGGACATACGTTTCTACCCCAAAAACTCGCCACCATCTGTATAGGTGGTTCTGTTTTTTGCTTCGATTAAAGATGGATACATGTTCCCTCCATCTAGTCTTTCCCTCCCTGCTCGTTTGGCCCACGTACATCGCGCGACACATTGGTGAAGCTAACACATACACACAATTAGAAGCCTCGGTGATGCCGCGAACCCCCTGCTGTTGATAAATGTTGAACCATGATTCAGTGCACTAACGCAACCACCTAATTTGATTTCGTAGAGTCAAAGCGATGACCACTAATCGATACAACGTCTCAACCGTGTCGTCGACAACTCCCTGCCTACGAACGTCAATCAGAACACGGCATAAAGTCCAAAGATCGTCGGAGCTTCATGCATCATCGTCCTCTTCGCCATCCTGATCATCTTCGTCCTCTTCCGGATGTGCCTCAGCACATGATTCTTCTTGTCCAACGACATCTTCCTCTTCGTTGGAGCCATAAGCCACCATCGAACGCTTCTCGGCGATAGCGAGGATGGTTTGCATCTTCCGCCCATCGAATGGTACATCTTCGTCCTGGCAAATTCGTCTCAAATCCTCCATGTTGAGCAAGCCGAGCTCCCGAAGATTGTCTGTCACGTATCTGAGCTTCCCGCATGACCCTGGCGGGGCCGGAATCTTCTTCTTCTTTGAGGGAGTCTTGAAAGGCGTCGTTCTCCGAGGGGACTTCTTCAGAGGTGGATGTCTACAACTCAAATGCAGACGTCGTTTGGCGGTGCGTTTAGCCGGCGTTACCATCGGTGGACTATCGCCCACAGGTATATCAGCAGCCCTCTTCCGCTTCTCCGAAATGACAAGCTGCTCCGTTTTATTGCTCAACCCCTCGACGTCGCTATCTTCAGCTTCGTGCGACGCATCGCCTGACGAGTTGTCTTCCGCCTTCTTCTTACCTTTGTCCGCACCTTTCTTACGGTCGAACTTGTGCTGCCATTCTTCACGCAGCCCGCCCATATGCAGAGAGATCTGCATCATCATCTCCTTTCTGAATTGCTCCCGCTGCAGTTCTTCCTTATACGTAGTTTCTTCTCCTTCTTCATGATGCTACGTTGCTTAGCTTGGCGTGCTTCCTCTTCGGCCTGTTGCTCCTCCTCTTTTCATTTCATCCTCTCAAGTTTTTCTTGCTCCCGCTTAGCTTTCTCCCCTCTCATCGCGTTCTCGGTATCAAAATGCTCCTTCATCGCAGCCACTGAGCCAACAAGCGTCTCGATTTGTCGCCGTAGAGCCGGGTCTTCTAACGTTGCACGTTGCTCGTACCCACGTCCTTGATGTCGCGGTGATAGCGATCGCCCCCGCTGGCCTCCTTGCCTCGAAGCACCCTCACCACTCAATCTTGGGCACTGATTACGGTAGTGCCCCGGCTCACCACATTCATAGCAGGTTGGTACAAAGCGTCTTGGGGCTTCTCTACACCTCTCGTACTGTCTAGAACTCCCAGGCCCAGCTGACCGTTCGTGCCGAAACTCACGACCACGATCTCGTCCACCATCAGAGCTACCCTCGCCTTGGCGATCGACATGCCGATCACGGTAATCACCACGTCGCGGGTCTCGATAGCTGGAGCCCGCCATAGATTATAAAACTAGTCTCAATAGATCAACCAAGACAATCGAGCGGCAGTGTCCAACGTTCAACACCTTCAGTCCCTCGTCAAAATCGTCACTCTCGTCAACTTCGATACTATCATCCTCAACTTCGATACTTTCATCATCAGCTTCGATAATCTCATCATCACGACAAAACAAACATGCTCACACGCACTCAGCCTACATTTCCAAGCGGGTTCACACGCACTTTCAGCAGGTTTACTAAGATATGGTGAAATACATGCATAGCATACATTCACAAGTACACAAGTACACAATCGGTCTACACAATGCATACTGAGAGGTACAAAGTACACACTCGGTAGACAAGGCACACTGAAAGGTACAAAGTACAATGATTGCTCCATCCGGTGGGTATGGCACCCCGACCGGTTTCGACCGCTGCCACGCGGTGTCCCCAGGCCCTCAGGGGAAGGTCCACCATACGTCAACCCTTGACAAACACCATCGTTCCACTAACCCTCCTCCGTCGTCGACTTCTTCGACATGTCGCAAGTCAGACGGTGGAGGAGGAGGACTAGGAGGAGGAGGAGGCAGGCAGCCCGACGACATGTGTGGTTTTATTTTTTCGAACCGTTTAAG